ACCGCCAATGGTTCCATCGCCAATGCAGACAGGACAGGAGACAGAGGACAACTCTGCCGTGTGCCACTCAGGATGGAGTAAGGAGAGGAGAGTGCACCTCCTAACCTAATGTGGGCCATAGGCCATTTATAAAGTAGGTGAAACCATCTTCTGAACACCAGGCCAAACCCAAAGGCTCCCAAGACCATTTCTAGGTATTGCTAGTATACAGAATCAAAGCTTTTTTAATGTCTAATGCTACTAATACCCTGGTTGCAGAAGCTTCCACTGGATATGAGTACGTACCCTGCGCAAATTTATATCAGTAGATCAGCCTGGCATAAAGCCAGTCTGCTCTATATCAATTAGGGAAGGAAGGAGCTTCACTATCTTAGGTGATAATCTTTAAATCGTAGTTAAGAGAGAGATGGGTCTATAGGGTGTGCAGGTTCTTTTGTCCTTGTCTGGCTTTGGGATAAGTATCACATGGGCCTGATACATGGAAGCCGGCAATTCACCCTGTTCCAAGCATGCAGCATACAATTGTTGAAATTTAGGGGCTAATACCGAGGTATTTTCTTTATACCATTCCCCAGGTAGACCATTGGGGTGACTTGTTATTAGGGAAGGAAGAAATGGCAGTTTCTATTTCCAAATGTGATAAGGGAGCTTCCAATTTCTCCCTTTCATCAGGATAGAGAGTAGGTAAGGAAAGTTTTGCTAATTCTGCAGACAGAGTCTGGGGAGAAAGGAATGTAGTCTGGCCATAAAGGTTACCATAATAGTGTTTGAATTCACCGAGTTTACTTGAGGCCGAGGTAAGTAAGACTCCGGAGGCAGAGTAAAGAGCTGGTACTATCGTTTGATAACAGGGGTCAGAAACTAGATTAGCAAGGAGTTTTCCATTTTTATCGCTGGACCTAAAAAGTTTCCCTGCCGAGGCTCTAGTGTCAGATTGGGAAAGGTTAATAAGGTGTAGTTTCAGATCCCGCCTAATTTGTTACGGACTAGCGTAGTGTTCTGCAGTCGCAGCAACTGTAAAAGCCGCTGCTGCCTTATAGGCCTCCCAGGCGGTAGATGGAAGCTGATTTCTCATTTAGAGTCCAGTAATATGCCATATGTTTTTGAACCTGATCTCTGACTGTCTGACTGCGGTATTCTGTATCCATCTGCAGGCCAGCCTCCCGCTGACATCCAACCCTCAGAACAAGTTCAAGGGGAGAGAGGTCAGACAGTCCCACACACAGGTCACTAAGTCCACCTGGGTCAACACAGAGGAAGTTCCAAACATCAAATCAATGTGTGCCCAAGAGCGGTGGAAGGCAGAAATGTGGGAGTAGTGTTTGTCACATGGATGTTTCCGCCGTCACATTTTGGTAAGGTGGAAAGTATCCATCCAGCTCACCAGCTTCTGAGCAGCACCCCTAACTGGATTGGAGGTGCCTAACATATCATTTAGTATGGCATTAAAGTCAATTTTCCTTGGATGACACACAGGAGGGTGGGGTCAAAGGAGGGGTGGAAGGTACACATTTACAAATGCCCATACAGTAGCATAAATCTCCAATAACAGTACAACATATCGCCCCCCAGGATCAGTCATGACTTTTATCACTGTGTACAGAAGGGATTTATGCAAGATAATGGCAACCCCTCTAGCATGAGGATGAATATGTGGCATGAAAATCTTGTTTAACCCAGGCTTTATGACGGGCCAGTACTTTACTACCTACAAGATGGGTTTCCAGTAAAAACAAAGGACCTGTGATTTTTAGGTCTGTAGATATTTAAAATTTAAAGAGCGTTTGAACTTATCATTCAGACCCCTAATATTCCAAGAAATTAGCTTAAGAGCCATTGTTCAAGGTTGTGAATCTAATTTCAGGGATGACCAGGAGAGATCCATCGGATCTGGTAGAACAATGCCAGAGGAGGGAGGGGGGTTACCATTTCCCCAACAGAAACATCCACAGCCCCCTAACAGCAAAAATTTCTTGATCTAAGACAAAGAGATTGAGCATGGAAAAATTCCCCAACAACGTACACTCCCTACCATGTAGCTGCAGAACAAACATAAAATGTAAAATAACTATCAAAGTTTTTATCCTCGAACATATAACAAAAATTGTCCACTAGGTGGCGAAGTCCTCTTCCTTATCCAACTACACATGGACAGTATCTTGCAGTTTAGAGGAAGGTGGGAAAATAAGACAAATCTCCAGTCAACCTGAAAAAAGAAGGCTCCCAGACATGCAAACTAAGTGTGGTTTAAGGGCAATAAGGCGCTTAGTGCAAACAAATCAATGGTAGCCCATATTAGGGCAACATAGAGGCATCAGGGAAGAGAAAGATGAAATCAGAAAAATCACCAAAACACAAAGATTCACACCCATTTCTGAAATGATAGTAGACGTAAAAGAACCCCCATATTGTTCTAGGGAGGTAATGCAGAAGTGACCATGGTCCACAGAGGGGTGGAAGCCACCTGTGAGGGGCTCAAGAGGAGACCAATAATATGGGGTCAAGAAAAGGTGCATCAGGGCAGTTCAGCAGACCAGATGGGTAAAAGGAAAGTTGATGACCAGAATCTGAGTATCAGAAGTTGTAACTCTATACATTCTTTCAGTATTTAAGGCAGGGTAGCCAGCCAGTTATCCACAGCCACCGGTGTTTCAAAGAATCTTACCGTACCCCCATGTGAGACATGCAGGTGACTCGGGTACAGCATGCTGTAGGGGATGTTTTTGTCTCGCAGTTTCTTCCAAACGTCTGTGAAGGATTTCCACTTCTGTACATTAGCCAAGAAATCCAGGTGCAAATTAAAAAAAGTCATTTTCAAATTGTAACGATGGATGTTTCCTGGCCTCGCTGAGGATGATGTGTCAATCATTGTAGTTAAGGAAGCAGACTACAAATGGTCTCGGTGGAGAGCCAGGTGGACGCTTCCCTGTGTGGACTATATGCGCCCTTTCCATGACATAGGTGGGTGGTAAGGCCTCCAAGTGCAGCAACTCTTTGAAAAAAGCTTCTGCAAATTCTGCCAGTTTCACCTCTTCAGCTCCTTCTGGCAGCTCTAGGATCCTGACATTATTACGGCAGAGTCTGTTCTCAGCATCATTTGTCTTGGCAACTAGATTGCGAACAGGGTCCTGCAATGAGTAGAGGAGATCAGAGTGTCTGGCAGTAATGTCTTCCATAGCCGAGATGCAGTCCTCCATTTCAGAGAGGTAGACTCTGATTTTGACCAATGTGATCACATTCTTCCACTACCCGGTATATGCGGATCAGTAAGGAGGTCTTATATTGTTATATGGCCCCCAGAATGACAGTAGTGTTGTTGGTATCTCCTGATGTGGAGGGCGTTGTAGCAATCGTGCACACAGAGATGAATGCGAACCTCCATTTTGGCAAAGGCCTCCATCTTCTATCATTTTCTACTCCCAAATCAGCCTCTCCACATCCCCCCTCCCTCTCTGTTGAGTGACATGTGGTCTGGATAAGGCAGAGGTCACAGGCAAGTCAAGGCTCAGCGGGAGAACTCCAGGGCTATATATTTCCAACCGAGCTGGTGCCTAGATGTCTGTTACCTTCTCAATCTTGGATATCATAAAGCCATAAACCAAGTCCCTCAAGACATTCCAGATAAGCCATAAAACAGACATCTTCTTTAAAAAAATCCATTTTCCTCTATGATTTCCTATCTTGGAAAATGAAAGACTTACATAAAAACCAGGCATATATTCAGACCGGTCACTTTAATACAAGTCGTCTGATATATTACATCCCCTATCTGACATCTACAGGAGAGCAGAAAATGATATCTCCTCAACCATCCCCCCAGGTATGTCATATTTCATATCCAGACGTTCAGCAGATGCATCTGCATATTAATCTACTAGTGGCAAGGTTGCTAAACGCACCGAGAAAAAGTTATTGGCCATAGTATAATTTGTGAAGGCTTTGGTCATAGCCTGAGCTCCCCACCTACACAACTCCCTCCCCAAATGAGGCGATTGGTTCTCTGCTTCAGGGAGACACCCTGCTGAGTTCCTAGAAAAAGCTGTTATGCTTGGAGCTAAGCTAAGCTGAGTTGAGTTGAAGTTGAAGAAGCTCCCTTTTAACATTGGAACTAACTTTGAGAGATAAGGACCTTTTGCTCAGAAAACTTGAAAGCTGCTTAAACCAGGACGTTTGGCAAGTACTTTACCTCCCTAAATTTCTTTCTGTTATCTCTTTGCTGTGTTATTGCTCTCTGTATAGTTATATATATATATATTGGCTACATCTTTTTCTGTAAATATTTTTATTGCACCCTTTTGACCTTTTAGTAATAATTCTTACTTTCTGAAAGTGTTGAACTGTTTATAAAGCTCTTTAACCACTTGCCTACCAGGCACTTATACCCCCTTATTTACCAGGCCAATTTTCTGCTTTCAGCGCTGCCGCACTTTGATTGACAATTGCGTGGTCATGCAACATTGTACCCATATGAAATTTTGATCATTTTTTTCTCACAAATAGAGCTTTCTTTTGGTGGTATTTAATTGCCACTGGGCGCTTTACTTTTTGCGCTATAAATTAAAAAAGTGCAAAAAATTTGAAAAAAAAAAAAGTTTCTTTGTTTCTATTATAAAATTTTTCAAACAGGTAATTTTTCTCCTTCACTGATGTGCGTTGATGAGGCAGCACTGATGGGCACTGATAGGCGGCACTGATGGGCACTGATAGGCAGCACTAAAGGGCACTGATAGGCAGTACTAATGAGGTGGCACGGATAGGCGGCACTGATAGGCAGCACTAATGAGGTGTCACGGATAGGCGGCACTAATATGCAGCACTGATAGGTGGCACTGATAGGTGACACTGATGATGGGTACTGATAGACGGCACTGACTGGCATCACTGCTGGGCACTGACTGGTGGCACTGACTGGCACAACCGCTGGGCACTGACTAGTGGCACTGACTGGCAGCACTGCTGGGCTGCACTGGTGGGTGGCACTGGTGGGCAGCACTGGTGGGTGGGCACAGGTGGGTGGCACTGGTGGGCACAGGTGGGTGGCACTGGTGGGCACAGGTAGGTGGCACTTCTGGGCACAGGTGTGTGACACTGCAGAGTGGCACAGGTGGGTGCACTGCTGGGCACAGGTGGGTGCACTGCTGGGCACAGGTGGGCGGAGCTAGTGGGCGCACTGCTGGGCACAGGTGGGCGGAACTTGTGGGTGGCACTGCTGGGCACCGATCATCAGGGCACTAATCATCAGTGCCCTGATGATCGGTGCCGATCCTCGCTCTGACAACTGCCGGTTCTCGGCAGTACTTTCCTCACGATCTGACAGCGTGAGGAAAGTGCAGCCGAGAACCGGCACTTGCATTTCCCTGTGATCAGCGTGTCATTGGACACCGCTGATCACGTGGTAAAAGGCCGGTATGATTGGCCTTTTACCACATCTCATGATCAGCTGTGTCCGTAGGTTGCGCGGTTGCGCACCCCCTGGGGCGGGAAGGAGAGCGCGTTTTGGGGGGACGTCATAAGACGTCCACCCCGAACTGGCCGGCCGCAGTGCAGCCGTCATTCGGCTATCTGCGGTCGGCAACTAGTTAATGCAAACTAAGAACCCCTGTCTCTGAAGATCGCTACTGTGTGTTTTAAAACATCTGCATACATCTGTCTGCGGTGACATTGTGTATACAAATGATTATTCAAACATCATAGTGTTATTGCTAGTGTTTCCTCTTTCTCTGTACAAAAAGGAGGTGGTGGCAGTGTGAAGGGTTAATTGCGTAATTAACCTGACCCAGTAACAATCGCTCTCAGGCTGCAGACACACAGATTGTGGTCCATTAGCTGGAAAATCTTTGTGCAGAGTGCAGCTGGGCGTGGCATTGTTACGCACGTGACAGCGCGGTTTTAGATTGGCTAGTCCTTCGGTCACGAGTTTGGTGAGAAGGGCTGGGGTCTGACGCCACAATCTTCACAGGCGCCATAGCACCAACCAGGGCTGCCTCCATCTCCAGTTCAGGAAGGAGCATGTGTAGTTTTCACAGCCAAGATGGAGCCTGCACCAGGAGTCTGCTGGGCGGGTAGCTTTTTTCTGGCTGGAGCAGCAGGCGCTTTCTGGCAGGATGGCATCTCAGACTAAGCGGGAGGGCAGTAGGGGGATGTGCAGGGTTCTAGGTGGTGAGAACTGAGCCCAACAAACCAGGCAGGAGGGATCAGGATAGCGGGAGCTCCTCGGGTTCATGTCCGCTCTGTGCTACATCCGGTCAAACCCCCCCTGACTATTTGCACTTAAAGTATTTACTTATATATATTGTTATTATTTAAGCTTCCACACTTATTTTATTTTGAAATTTGTTGTCAACAAATTATGTAAACGGCTATCGTACTATTAACCGCTTGCCGCCCTTCCACTGTGTATATACGTGTGCAGGGCGGCAGTGGAGCGCAAAACCACGTTTTAAAATGGGTTCCGCGCTCCCGACACTTTCGCCGACAGGGGGGCGCGCGCGCGCGCTCCCGCCGACCCGCGGGTAACACGATTTAATCCAGGAGGGATCAATCATTAGATTTCAGCCAGTGATTTCTGGCTGAAATCACATGATCGGTCCCTGTCCTATCCTGTCCTGTGTTGACATATACACAGGGCAGGATATGATGTCATTCTTCTCTGCCTGGACACATTCCGTTCCAGACAGAGAAGAAGACATCCAAAAAGTGAGTACACAAGCACTACACTACAGTTAGAACACTCTAGAACAGCGTTTTTCAACCACTGTGCCGTGGCACACTAGTGTGCCGTGAGATATTGTCTGGTGTGCCGTGGGAAAAATTGCAATTTCATCCGTAACATGTGGCCTCGGCTCACAAATAGACCAATCATTAGAACAGCAATGGGCAAACTACGGCCCGTGGGCCGTATACGGCCCGGCGGACCTTTTAATCCGGCCCACGGAGCGTGATACTGTCAGGATGATCTGTCCCCCTCGACGTATCTGCGCATGTGCCGGAGATCGCCGATCGGCTGCTAATGCCTGAAACTGGCACATGCGCAGATACGTCGAGGGGGACAGATCCTCATAGGAGACAGATTTTCATGCTACACCGGAACGGCGAGAGGAACGCACGGAGCAAAGGTAAGTGAATTGACACAGGGGGGGCTTGGGGACTTAATATGGGGGATGAATTACTATGGGGGATGAATTACTATGGGGGATGAATTACTATATGGGGGATGAATTACTATGGGGGATTAATTACTATGGGGGATGAATTACTATATGGGGGATGAATTACTATATGGGGGGTGAATTACTATGGGGGATGAATTACTATGGGGGATGAATTACTATATGGGGGATGAATTACTATGGGGGATTAATTACTATATGGGGGATGAATTACTATGGGGGATGAACTACTATATGGGGGATTAATTACTATGGGGGATGAATTACTATGGGGGATGAATTACTATATGGGGGATGAATTACTATATGGGGGATTAATTACTATGCTTACTATGGGGGAATATTACTATACTTACTATGGATGACACATACACATCATTCATCTACTGTTGGTCCGGCCCCCGAGTCCAATATATGAACCCATTGCGGCCCTCAAGTCAAAAAGTTTTTCAATACATTTTTTTAACATTTTCTAATGGTGGTGTGCCTCGTGATTTTTTTCATGAAAAAAGTGTGCCTTTGCACAAAAAAGGTTGAAAAACACTGCTCTAGAACACATTTAACCCCCTGATCGCCCCCCCCCCCCCAGTTAACCCCTTCACTGCCCTGTCACCAGTGTCACTGAACAGTGAAGCGATTTTTTACTGATCAGTGTCGCTGGCGACTTCCGATAGAGTTAGCGCCCCTCCCAGATAGCGCCAGATTGCCCGCCAGTACACCAGTAATCCCGTTTAACCCCTTGATCACCCCCCCCCCCTCCAGTTAACCCCTTCACTGCCCTGTCACCAGTGTCACTGATCAGTGAACCAATTTTTACTGATCACTGTATCAGTGTCGCTGGCGACTTCCGATAGTGTTAGCGCCCCTCCCAGATAGCGCCAGTTTGCCCGCCAGTGCACCAGTAATCCCGTTTAAAAAACCCCTTGATCGCCCCCCCCCCCCCCCCCCAGTTAACCCCTTCACTGCCCTGTCACCAGTGTCACTGATCAGTGAACCAATTTTTACTGATCACTGTATCAGTGTCGCTGGCGACTTCCGATAGTGTTAGCGCCCCTCCCAGATAGCGCCAGACTGCCCGCCAGTACACCAGTAATCCCGTTTAACCCCTTGATCGCCCCCCCCAGTTAACCCCTTCACTGCCCTGTCACCAGTGTCACTGATCAGTGAACCGATTTTTACTGATCACTGTATCAGTGTCGCTGGCGACTTCCGATAGTGTTAGCGCCCCTCCCAGATAGTGCCAGATTGCCCGCCAGTACACCAGTAATCCCGTTTAACCCCTTGATCGCCCCCCCCCCAGTTAACCCCTTCACTGCCCTGTCACCAGTGTCACTGATCAGTGAACCAATTTTTACTGATCACTGTATCAGTGTCGCTGGCGACTTCCGATAGTGTTAGCGCCCCTCCCAGATAGCGCCAGTTTGCCCGCTAATACACAGGATTTTTTTTTACCAAAAACATGGAGCAGAATACATTTTGGCTTAAATTTATGACTAACTTTGAGTTTACGACATATTTTTTATAGCTGAAAGTAGAAAATATTGGTTTTTTTCAAAATTTTCGTGGTTTTTTTGTTTATAGCGCAAAAAATAAAAAGCACACAGGTGATCAAATACCACCAAAAGAAAGCTCTATTTGTGTGAAAAAAAGGATGTAAATTTTGTTTGGGTACAGCATTGCATGACCGCGCAATTATCATTTGAATTAGTGCAGCGCTGTATAGCAAATAAAGGCATAAATTACAGCATCTATACCATAGTTTGTAGACGCTATAACTTTCACATAAAGCAATCAATATACACTTATTGGGATTTTTTTTACGAAAAACATGTAGCAGAATACATTTTGGCTTAAATTTATGACTAACTTTGAGTTTACGATATATTTTTTATAGCTGAAAGTAGAAAATATTGTTTTTTTTTTTCAAACATTTCGTGGTTTTTTTTTTTGTTTTATAGCGCAAAAAATAAAAAGCACACAGGTGATCAAATACCACCAAAAGAAAGCTCTATTTGTGTAAAAAAAAGGACGTAAATTTCGTTTGGGTACAGCATTGCATGACCCGCGCAATTATCATTTGAATTAGTGCAGCGCTGTATAGCAAAAAAAGGCATACATTACAGTATCTATACCATAGCGTGTAGACGCTATAACTTTCACACAAAGAAATCAATATACACTTATTGGGATTTTTTTTACCAAAAACATGTAGCAGAATACATTTTGGCTTAAATTTATGACTAACTTTGAGTTTACGATATATTTTTTATAGCTGAAAGTAGAAAAATATTGTTTTTTTTTTTCAAAATTTTCGTGTTTTTTTTTTTGTTTATAGCGCAAAAAATAAAAAGCGCACAGGTGATAAAATACCACCAAAAGAAAGCTCTATTTGTGTGAAAAAAAGGACGTAAATTTTGTTTGGGTACAGCATTGCATGACCGCACAATTATCATTTGAATTAGTGCAGCGCCAAACAGCAAAAAAAGGCTTGGTCATTAAGGGGGGTAAATCCTCTGGGGCTCAAGTGGTTAATATCAAGGCGTGGGTGTGTTTTGAACAATTTTAGTGAATACACTGGACTGTCACTAACAGTGTGGCCTGGCAGCTACAATTGTCCATGGTCAGCATGAATTAGCCATTTTCAGAAGAACGGCTGCGCAGGTCAGAGCAGCTGCTTAGTGAAGATCACTGGAATGGGGATGAAGGTTTAATTAGTTTCAAGGTACAGTTGTACTTTATATTTCCATATAATTCCCAATAAAGTTATTTGACAGACTCTGTATGAGGTAACATGCTTGCCTTAAGGCAGCCAATTCAATATCAGTACACCACAAGGAAGGAGAAAATGTGAATGGCACCGCAATGCACAAGGTAGCAAAAGTTTTGACAAACTGTATTGATTTTACGCCTTTAAAACATAACATGGCGTTAATTTATTTTCTTGGTAGACTATGGCCCTTTCCTGTATGAGTGGAAATAATTATGGTTTCACAATCTGATATTGTTCATCGAATGGAAAAAAAAAAACATCTTTCATATTTGATCATTGGAACAAGCAACATAATCAGACACTGAGTCTACAACATGACATTTTATTTTGGTTTCTGTGAAAGATACACTTGGCAAACATGACTACAAAGTCTGTGTATGTAGACAAGGCTTATAAAGGACTTCTCTAACCCCA